GATACACGCATGCGCATCGCCTGAACATTGGACCTGTATCACGAGGATACTAAATTCAAAGCGTCTCATGTTGGAGAGCAACTTGAGGAGTTGCTTAGGGTACACCTGAAAAGTACTCAGCTCATTTCACAATGGTTAGGCACAAGCCTGCTACTAGCAGGCTGCTAGTGCATTTTGAGCTCGCTTTGCACCTTATCCCGGTGTTCTCTCGTGCTCGTCCGCTGTGCTGGTCAGTTTTGGCTGGGTCCCGCTTATTATGAGGCTGATTCATAGGTATACAGTAACTTCAGATTAGATGCGAAGTTATAAATATACTCCCCCAGTAAGAGTTGGTACCTCGAGGCGCGATTTTAAAACATGTATGCTGATTTTGCAACTTCTCATTAACTACCAGAAGTTACACCATGAAGCTTGGAGGTTATATCAAGTGGAGCATAAGAGCATAGTATGCTCACCATACTTTCCTGAGCCGCAAGATGGTGTTCGTAGAGGTGACTGTGCACGAGTCGAAAACGGGATATGCTAAGACTATGCGGAGGGGTGTATGTCATAGGAATATGTACCAACGGGATATTTGTTACCCTAGCAAGTGAGCGACATGCAACCGTTCAGTGAACGGTTATCACTGGTCAGCCGCTCCGGGTCTACTTGCGTCGGAAGCGGCCTCAGGAAGTGAAGCGCTGCCACGCTGCACAGCACACTCTATTGAGACCGCTAGACCGAGTGTACATAACGACTTGTATTCACACGCCTACAGAGTTGCTCTCTTCCCCAAGAAACCGTCATCGGATAAACCGATTCAGGCCGAACATGAAGGAGACAGTGAACAGAGACATATCATTAGCTCACACATTCGACGCTAGGGAAAGAGTGGTTTCCACTCTAGCACTTGCCATCATCATTATATTTGAAGCTTGTTAATCCTAACGTATTTTTCAAGTATGTCCGTATCTGGTAGCAACAGCGGTAAATCGTACTCGTGGACTGATGTTTCGGGTAACGTGTACTACTATTACAAGCATCCTATGACCAAGGCTGTTTTGTTCATTTTACTACAGGAATTATGTGAACGTTTGGCCTTCTACGGGTTGATGCCCAACCTTCAGATTTTCCTCAAGGAGTATCTTAGGGTTGATGACGCTGGTGCTAATTCGTATATCTCTACGTTCAACGCTATCCTTTATGTTACTCCACTTCTC